GCCGATATTTCTCTCTCATGGAGAGTTCTTGACTTAGGCGACAGATAAAAAAATTTAACTGCATTTCAGAGGAAACTATTTTAACTAGAAGCATGAAACTGATATAAAATTCTATTAAAGAGCGTCTGAGGGCAAACATATGAAGAGAATTTGATAGAGGGCGGTATCTGAAAACTGCCAGATAAAACATGGATTGGCAGGTTAACATCATCGACTATATATATATAGGTGTGTTTTTCTATTGTTTTTCTGTATCAGATTCACTGTAGTATTTCTCATCTTCAGACGATTCTACTAATAAATGTACTCATGCACAAACAAGTAAGTGAGTAACATTCAATATACACCACAAAATTACAGATTACTAAAGTACTTTCTATTGTGACTTCAAGTACAAATTTCTAAGATAACATTATTTAAAATACACCTTTCTTAAAGAATATTTCTGACCTATCCTATTTACATTAGGAATACTGGAAAATGCCACCAAAACGAAGAGCCCTGATGAGCAGAAGTACATCAGCTTCGAGGAGAATGGCAGCTTCCCAAGCAGCTGAGACTCTAGAACAAGGACAGGTTCGACGCCAGGAAGATCGGACAAGGCATGCGGCCCCCAGAGCAGCTGAGACTCCGGAACAGAGCCGCGGTCGGGTCGATGATCAGAGTACAAGACAAGCAGCTTCTACAGCAGCTGAGACTCCAGTACAGAGGCAGGTTCGACGCGAGGACGATCGGACAAGGCATGCGGCCTTCAGAGCAGCCGAGACTCCGGCGCAGAAGCGGACTCGGAGTGAAGATAAATAAGAATTATATTTCATTGAACACAGTCATTTTTTAATAGAAGAAGCCGATCAAACAAAAACAACATCGAAAAGAATAAAAATCTTTTTAAAAAGTTTAAAATGACGAAAAGAAAAAAGTTCAAAAGGAAAGGTGATCCGACCGCATTTTGCGATATCGAAGTCCGATAACTGATTGGAGACAATAACGATGTCTTTTTCTAACATGTCAAGTACGTAATATCAAATTTTCCCGAGCAACGTCGGGTACTTTAGCTAGTTAGCTATAATTTTGTTTGTTCATACCAGAGCATGGATAATTGTACCTGTACTTTTTGTACTTTGCAAGTAAAAAGCACCAATACGGGTACCTGAGAATGTACACTTGTAGTTCATTCGATTTTGTTTCCCTTTGTACACGCTAAGCCAGTGGTGAAACTCGATGAGAATCAGAAAATTCATCGCCTCTGGAAGAATAAGAGATTAAGGTCCGACATTTTGTCCAACTCCAGCATCACCACTGGTGTTTGAAGAAGGGCAAGTTGACTCGGCAACATTCCATGCCGAAGAAGATTATTAAGAAGGCCATTGAAGTGTGATCTTTTATTTTTTCGAATGATTGAAGGAAATTTAATATAACGACAATAAACCATACAGATATCGCTTACCCATAAATTCAAGCACTCTTCGAATCAGAAGATTTTTTGTCTCCGTTCATGGCTTATTTCTTTACCCAGTGAAAAAAAACGAGCGTGATTCCGCAAGTTCCTGGGGGAAAAATGAAACATTTTCACGCGGGAAGTGAAAGTCTTCTGCAGGAAAAGAAGCACTTTTCCCGCCGCATTCTGCAGGAAT